AGTTCTGATTTAGCCCAAACCAGGACAACTTTCTTTTGCCCCTTGGACTCTGGTGTCAAGCTATAAAGGACTGGATAGGGACTGGAGATGTGCTTTGCAGGTGAAGAATGCTGAACTGGCAGGTGCCAAGGGAGTTATTCTGTACTCTGACCCTGCTGACTACTGTGCCCCAGGAGTAGATCCCTATCCAAATGGCTGGAACCTTCCAGGTGGAGGAGCCCAGCGTGGGAATGTATTAAACCTGAATGGGGCAGGGGATCCTCTGACACCAGGTTACCCTGCAAAAGGTGAGTGACACTAGAGAAGTCGTGCTCTGAGGGTCTGGTTTCAGGAAAGGGGTGGGAAGGTATTTGGGATGTTCTTTCCCTTGGAAAAAAAGACATTTTTTCTTGGTCTTTCTGTTGCTCAAAAGAGACAGCTTTGGGCTTCACATCAGTAGGCCATTTCTGCAAATTTTGCATGAGAGAAACTGAGGGAATGTTAAGGGAGCCACACAGTGCAGTGCTGGGCTGCTTAACCTCACAGACACGCCCAAGTTAGCCCAGAGGTCGTAACACAAGTATTCGACAGCTGAAGCCCAAGTCTTTTCTTTCTGCTTCTAGTGAGTAAGTCAGCAAGGAACCAGCCTGCACAGCTCACAGGTTTCTTTGCTTTAGCAGTTCTCTTCCTACAGGATTTGGGCTGCTTTCCCTCCACAGGAGCCCTTACTGGCAATGCTAAGACCTTTCATGCTGGAACTCATGTCACCTAGCTGCAGCTGAGGCTCCTGAGAAGATGACCATTCCCCACTGGTTCATCACCTTCACCTCTCGCTTCCTCAGCTGCTTATTTGAGCTCTGCCTAGGCTATTTCATTTCACACCTAACCCGGATAATTTTGACTGAAATGCATTAAGAACAATTCATGCCAGCACTTGAGCCAGCATATCTGAGCAGACTATGAGGAAGATTTCTGGTTTTGCATCGTAGAGTCAGTGATCTTGTAGATGAATCTCTGCCTGCTTCCCTCAGCAAGAGTCGCTGTGAATGTTGTATAAGGAGGAAACTGTTCTTTTCCATACCTGCTGGCTTGCAAACACCAAATTTTGTCCACATTGTGAAAATTAAGATTCTCATTTGTAAACAAACTATGGTTTATATTTGAGCTTTGTCAGAACAAAACCTAGGCTTCATTTTGTTCACAAAACCAGCAAAACAGAATATTCAGTAGCCCAGTCTATAAGATTTTACCTGCATCTCTTATCAATTGGCAAAATTTTTGTAGTTCTCAGCTGAATGTCCCAAGCGTCAGACTATGGGTTGCCTCTTTGCTTTTGTGCTTTATCTGTGGCTTAATCTGAAGTTCTTTCCTATGGAGAAAACGTCTATCTAAAAGCATAAAAAAAACCCAAATAATTTTAAAATTTCCAGCCATCTCTAAATGTGTGTTTGCTGGCACTGTGGGAGAACCTTTGTTAGTGTCTCTCTGAAAACATGTTGATAAAGCATAAGGAATGAAATCACTGAAGAAATGTCACCCAACTTCGAGGAGGGTGAAATGACTATCTCTGATTCCAGTGTTAGGACTGTGCTATGAACTGTACAGTTTCCTTCTGAGAGTCATAAATACAAAAATATCTCTCTTTTGCTTTCAGAATACACTTATCGATTAGACAAAGCCAGTGGTGTAGGTCTCCCAAAAATTCCAGTTCATCCCATTGGCTATCTCGATGCTGAGTCGTTACTGCGGTAAGTGTATGGAGTCATGAGGAATGTTCAGCAGACTTTTTTGATAGTTATGAGAGTATCTGAAAAGAAAGGGAAAAGACTTTTGCACTGTGCTTCTACTGTAGCTGTTGAAATAATGTATGTCTGTTTGTCATTAGGTTCTCTCTAGGAGGTAAATGTTCTCTGTTGCTACATATCAGAAATGTGCAGAGTGATCTGGAAAGGATAATTTGTAATATATCATGAGCAGTCAAGTATGCTGAAGTTATAAAGTGCCTCTGAGTTTGAATAAAGACAAAAATTTTTGAGGATGACATGGCTGTCTTGTGACAAAGACCACGAATGAAGTCATTCATGTGTCCAGGGAAATACTTGCCGTGCATGTTTGATGGGACAGTGTCTGTGCTGTCCTCTGTTAAAAGAAGGTGTGTGCTTTCTCTCATCAGGTGTATTGTGTTGCGTAAATACGAAATGATGCTAGCAAACTAGTATAGGGACACTGAGGAAACTCTGGAGTATTATAGGGGATTTATTAGATATCTACGTGTGAGTGTGCTGACTAAACATGCAAGACAGGCTACTGGCTTGCCAGAGGACAACATTAAAATTCCTAACTCTCTTAACAGACCAAGTTCTCTGAAAAAACTAAGATGTGGCTGAGTTGGCAAGTGTATCATTCCCCTAAAAATGTAGCAGTAATCGCCTGTATCATCTATAGAGATACAGAGCAGGAAATGCCAGGGTTGGCACCAATACCATGGATAAGTGTTTAGGGCAGTAAGTGAACATACTCTTGGTGTGTATTTGTATAGGAATTTTACATCTAAATCACATGAGCAATCATTCTGCTCTGTTTGATGCCGCTGTTTGAATATTGAGTCAAAAAAAAAAAATCCATCTTGGTTCTCTATGCAGATTTCCTGTGAGGTATTGAAGGTATTTGTTTTTATATGAGGCAGAATTTTACTGTCTTTGGTGTTTTTGCGTACCTGAAGTTTATCCACACTGTTCTAGTGTTTTTCCTATTTTCTCCTAAACTTTTATGGACTAATATGTCTCCAACTCTCTTTTCTTTAAAACTTTATGGTCATCACTGTTACGAGGACAAGTGCTAATAATGATAAAGGTATAGGTTAAAAAGCCTCTTTTTTCCACTGCCAACTAGTAGTGGTAGAGCAGATTAATATGTATAAATGTGCTGTAACTAGATATTTCTCTTCAATAAATCATAAATAATTAGAGAACTTGGCTTTAATAATTATGAGTGAAATCTAAATCCTCTAAAAATGCTAATCCTTGGTTTCACTTTTGTCTTGAGAAATCGTAACTTTTAGTTATTCCTGCTATCGTATTTTTATATAAAAAAATATACCAAGGATTTAAAGACATGCTAGTGTTCTGTGGAACAAAGCTTGACTGAAGTATGCATTTATAGTAAGGGACACGCTTTCATTTACAATAAATATGTTTTGCCTAATAAGAACCAGAACATCCCTCATACTTTTTAATAATTTTTAGTGTTTTTCACAAGTTCATGTCAAAAATATAAATCCTTTAGAACAGGTGAGTAAGTATGGGTCATTGCCATCCACTGAATTACTGTATTTCTAGTTGTGTTAACTGAGAAAAAACATCTCACCTTTGACAACGGAACAAGAAAAGGTGAATTGGACTGATTGTGTTTCTCCAATTTTAGACATCTTTGAAACACATCAACTCTGTCTATGTTACCAGATTAAACAGAGTCCAGGGACAGGCACTGGAGCAACTACCTGTGCTGTTAAACTGTTAAAATGGTCCAAGTTACCCCCTGCTAATTCAGATGTAAATAGCTCAAGGCAGTAGAAGGTTCCAGGGACCACTTACAAGAGGCAGTTTGTATGCAAAACCTTTGGAGGCCAAGCCGTTTTCCAGGATAGCTGTAGGCCGTTCCAAGCTGATGTTAATGCCCAGGACTATTCCTATGTGTTAATTTACTGGTATTAATGTAGCTAAAAAGACAGATTATTCTCCTGTGAAGCTTGTTGTATACATTGTCTAAGACAAAGACCATCACTGTGGTCTGTGTGTGCATAGGACCTAACGGTAGGGTTCCTGGTTCCTTGTTCGTATTTGGTGCTATTGTAAGATATCTGTGACTAATAATGATGATTTTGTTTTCATAATAGTAATATGGGAGGACACGCACCACCACATAGCAGCTGGAAAGGCAATCTGAATGTATCTTACAACGTTGGTCCTGGTTTCACAGCAAATTACTCTACAAGGTCAGTTTTGTTCCATAAGGAAAGCATGCTTGGAATCAGAGAAAAACAGGTAGAGCTATAGAATTTGACCAAAAGTAGAGTAGTTGGAGTTATTTGCATCTTTCCTTTGATTATGACCATTTCCTGATCATAATCACAGCACACTCAGTTCAAAGCTTCAGTAGATTTACATCTTGATTGGATGAATATGACTGAATAGCCTTAGTTTCCAGCTAGTCTTGAACCAGTTTCTTTTGAAAGGCGTCTAGCCTTTGACAAACTATTTGATGAGACTGATTGTTTTTTTGAGAACTGAATTTGTTTGTGGCCTTTTTAAATTCGTGTGGGTCCAGCTACTGTTTTTTCCTACAGCCTTATACAAAACAGTATTAACCTACAAGTCAAGTTTTTCAGAAAAAAGCTTAAACTACAATGTCATTTTTACTGCTTCAGATGGTTTTTAAACTGATTTAGTAATTACAGTTCAAGAGTAAAGTCCAGGTGTTTCAGTACTGGCTGAGCTGTTGTACTGACTTCATATGAACCATTTGACTTTTTCCCTATGTCTTAGTCATACTACAGGAAAAATTCTTTTGGAAAAATGTACACACAACCCTTGAGTTGTTGCACCTTCAGCTGTGTTGTAGATAAACAAGTCTCTTGATGCAACTCAGGTTGTCTGATTTTCTGCTGCCTGAGGTGCCTCATCAGTATTGACTGCGCTGGAGCCAGTTCTGATTTGCACCAACCTCTAGATGATTAGAACTATTTACCTTTTTATTATTAGGTGGGTTTAATTTTTCTTTCACTCTTCCAAATTTAAAAACTAGTGGCTAGCAAAAAATCTTTGAATTTGGAATTCTGAGCCTGTCAGCCTGTCATCCATGTAAGTCTTACTGACATGAATAACAGTACATAGCTTTCAAGGGCTGAATGCTGTTCTCAATTGCACCAGTATAAATGCAGAAAAAACTGCACTGAAATATTTTCAGATTTACTTTGGTTTAATGGAGGGTAAATTTGGCCAAAATGTTTTCCTTACAATTTATATTGTACACTTTTGAAAGGTGTCAAGATGTTTTATTATCTAATCTTGTGGATTTGCTCTTTGGGTTTTCTTCCCAATGCACTAGAAAGGTGAAAATGCACATTCACAGCAACAATGAAGTAAGGAGGATTTACAATGTGATTGGTACCATCAGAGGCACAGTGGAACCAGGTAAAATCATTTGTCTTCAGCTTAATGTGAATGTGCAGTGACCTCTACATGCACTTCATAGTTACAAGGGGGAAATACAGTTTTCTCTGAAATATTGCACTACATGATCATTGGTGTTGAAATATTTATTGCACCAGCTTTCATATGGTTCAGGGTATGTCAGCACTTTCACTGTAAATGCTGATTTTCAAGGAGGAGTCATAACCAAGACAGAAATATTTCTCTTTAGGGGTGTAACTTTGCAATTGAAAGAATATTCTTAAGTGGATATTCTTCCCTACTAACACAAGAGTGGATTTAGCATTCCATGTGAAGATATCATATCCACCACTATTGACTTTTTGTCTGTCTTACAGCCTCTTGTAACCAGTGTGATTTTACACACTGAAAAACCAGGTATATAGACATCCCTAGGAAGATGATGGTATTGTTTAACTTGTAACTGCAGCACTTCCCTGTTGCCTGAAACACAACTGTTAACCATATTTAGTAGCACAGAGATCTCATCTGACTTTGATCTTATTAATCACATCTCTGTCGTGATTTGGACAGCCCATTTCATGACTGACTATTTATATATTCAGAGAAATACTGCATTCAGCACACCTTAATGTTGTGAGCTGGCATGCTGTGCAAATGTAATTACTGGATCAGCTTTACCATGAAACACACTATTGTACAATATGGAAAGATGTGTCTATCTTTAGAGGAAAGCTGCAGTATTTCTAATAATAAAAGTAACGTTATGGAACTTAAGTTTTATGGGATCAAGTTGTTGTGCTTGACAAATTCTATAGCACTGGCTGAAAATGCAGAAAATTGTCTTTGGAGTTTTAAAATGTCTTTTGCCTTTCTGTAATGTATATTATAAATGATTAAGCTTTATTGCCTGATATCTACATGAAAAATTAGAAATTACTTCCAATTAACATGTCTATGGCAGGTAAAAAGTTTTTGTAAGTAAACCTTTGTAATTTCTGTAGACAGATATGTCATCCTGGGAGGCCACCGCGATGCATGGGTATTTGGTGGCATTGATCCTCAGAGTGGGGCAGCTGTGGTTCACGAGATAGTGAGGAGCTTTGGAAAACTGAAAAGGAAAGGTAATGCAATGAAAGAATTAAGCACACCAAAATCACTGCTCTCAGCCATGCCCATTGATTTCTCAGGGATTTAAGCATATGCTTAAAATTAAACACGTGTATCTCACTGATTTCTTGAATAAGATATGCTGCTCTGCAGTTGTTAATGAGTTCCAGTTACAACCTTGGTATATGTGAGGTACTTCTACTCAAAAGAAAATACAGCTGAAGGAAAACAAAACACAAAATGGAGATACTGAAATAAATAGGACATTTAGGTACAGTTGATTACTGTGTCTTTGAGGCTGGTCAGACTGGATGTTTCAGGGGTCCTGTAAAATTGGTACATTGGCACACACAGTGGTGGACTGATCAAGACTTCCTCACGGCAACATCGAGAGCCTTCTCAGCACTTGACTGTGGTTTGGAGATAGACCTAAGAATAAATAAAGCGTGTTTGTGTAATGCGGAGAATGAGCTGTGCAAACATAGTAGGAGGTAATAGTTAAAAATACCTCGTGCCTAATTACATTAGAATAGGAACAAACGTCAACTGCACCAAGTCTCTGCTGCTGTCAGAGCAAATGCTATCTCCCTATCTGACATCCCATGGAAAGAAGCTCTGACATAACTCAAATACTGTGCTAGAGGAGCTTTCTTTGCCTACCAATTACACTCAAAACCTATTGACATTTAGTTTTCTATCCATTCCCTCTCAGTTATTTGATATCAGGGGAAGCTGTCTTTGGAATGTGAGATAGGGGAAAAAAAAAGGTAAAAAAGAAAGGGAGCAAAAGATGAAAAGATTCCAGTAACCTCAAAGAAAACTTTGGGCAGAGATACAGAAGCACAGCAATAAAGCCTGTTCCATTTGGCCTGGATTTAAACTGAATGCAGAACTTCAAGTGAAAGAGCTTTGTTTTGAAAGTGATCTGTCAAAGTTACAGGGAATTCCTTAGGTTTTGAAGTCTGGCATTTGGGAGGCAGGTCAAAGAAATTCAGTAATAGATATGAAAACACGCCAAACACTTTTCTGTCAAAGGAGACACTGGTATACAATGTGTACTAAATTGAACAGAGCAAAAAAGAGTAGAAAAGCTTTCTTTCAGGAGTTAGTGCGCAAGCATGTTATTTTTCCTTGTTCAGAGTTTTAAATTTTAGAAAATTTTCTTGCCGTTAAATCTGAGAGAAGGAAAAGAACACATTATTTGGCACAATCTTGAAGTAGAAGTGAGATTGTTACAAAAATAGCAAACCATTATTAGATTAGGTTAGTGA